CGGGGCATGTGGGCTCTCCCCAAAACGGGGCACGACCCCGCGTCTCCCGCATCGGCAGGCGGACTCCCAAGCACCGCGCCACCAGGGAAGCCCTTAATATGTTTTTATTCCCTCTGCAATAAAGAATTATTGGTATCCTACTAAATATAAATGTGTCTGTTTACAGAAGTCAGTACTGTATTGTGAATTTTGCTGAACTCTTTGATTAAAGTCCCTTGGTATCTGAGTTAGATTTGCCACTTTCAAAACTTTTTAGTGTTTCCTCTGTCGTTGCATACATAGTCATGTCTGACTGAGCAAGTGTTTACGAAAAGTTCTTTTTAAATTATACATTATTGGGAAGTGAATCAGATTTTTCTGTTAATTTGTGTTAAAATTTCAGAGGTACAGTCTCAGGAAAATATTTTGGTGCCAAGCAGTGTACAGTCAGCCCTCCATATCTGAGGTTGCAGAACTCGCAGGTACCGAGAGCCGACTGTACTAAACAGTTTTATAGTATAAGGGCTTGAGCATCTGTGGATTTTGGTGTCTGCAGGGGGTCCTGGAACCAGTGTCCCATGGCTACTGGGGGACAACTGTATTGCTGTCATCCAGAATAATCCAAGACCATCTCAAGTCAGAGAACAAATATGCTCAAATGCTTCAAGCACAGAGCTTGATTGTGGCCTAGGCACATCCATCACAAGGTTTATATCAGCTGCCCAGCCTCCACACGGGCAAGGTGCCGGGGAGCTGATAGGTTATAGGAAAACAAGCACATCAGATGTAGGGTCATTCCAAATCTTTTTGTCTGGTCTGTGGGTGCTCTTTCTAGAAAAACGAAAGGGCAGAGTAGTAAACATGCCAGGATGAATGCCCATGGTCAGTGCTGTCATTGCTCCTGACACGGGCAGGGTCATGCCTTCGTGAACACTCTTGGAGTGACTGCTGTGAGCCAGGCTCCAAGGTGCTGGGGACCCAGCAGTGGGGAAGCCCATGAAGGAGTTTAACAAGGTAACAGACTGCCTGGTGACAAGGGTGGTGCTGACCTCAGTCAGCTGGGAACGAGGAGGGTATAGGGAGGGTTTTCTGGGAAATGGGAGGTCCACCAAGTCGTGAAGAATGACGAGGAGTTAAACAAGTGAAAGGGACTTGGAGGGAGACTGTGGCCTGCGGGTGGGATTGTGTGGAGAACACACACAGGCCCGGATGTCCATGGTAGGCTTGCGCGCTGATATGGAGAACTGTGAGTATAGTTCAGGTAGCCCTGTCTGGGTGGGAGCAGGGTGCAGACAAGGCTCAGCACCCAAGCCTGGGATAGGGTTCCTGGCTCTGGCCAGAGAACCATGCAGAGCTCCCTGCCTCCTCATTGCCGCCACTGGGCAATCCTTAGATCGCCGTGCTTGGGACAAAATAAAAAGCCTTTGTAGTTCGGTAAGTAACTACAGTGCCCTAGGAAGTCGGTCAGGAGGCCCAAAGGGGGAGTTACATCAAAGCTGGTGCAAGACAGTCTGAGTCTGAGATCACGGTCTGGGAGCTGTGTGGCTCTTGCATTTCCAGTAGCTTCCCATAGTTTCAGAGGCTCACAGATTGGGAAATGTAATCAGGCAAATGAATTCCATCCACTCTGGTCATGAATGTGGTTTTGGAACTGCATGATTACATTTCAGGGGCAGCACAGGGTAGTGATGAGGATGCTGGACCCGAGGAGTCAGATCCTTTTAGGCACTTACTGTCGCTGGACTCCAAAGAAGTCACTTAACTTCTCTGAACCTCACATTTCTCATCTTGAAAATGGGGTGAGTGGGGGTGATTAGACAGGCTAATGAAGTCTGGTTCTTAACCCAGAAAAGCACTCAGTAAAAATTAACTGTCTATAATATACCTGCAAGTAACTATGAAGACTCACTGCTTAAACCTTGACTGTACAGATGAGGATGAGGTAAAGAGGCTCACGGTTCCCTTGCTAGTTACCATTAATTTAACAAAGCCAGTTTATATAGATTATGCATCATCTTGGGAGCAGTATATTTTCCTTATTATTTTGAAATTATTAACGAGAATAATGGAAAATGCAACTTTCAAAATTATGTGATGTGGGATAAAGCATGTCATCGGTAGGACATAATGAGGGTTCTCATCACTTTGTGAGGACCTAAGGCTGGTCCCCTGGGTCTCTTTCTCATCTGTGAAAAGAAGAGGTTGGCTTACATAATTTTTTTGTTCCCTTCAAGCTCTAGCAAATTATATTCCAAATTTTTAATTTGAAAATTATTTCTTGTGGCTAAATTTAGTTCTAATTATTAAAACAAGTAGATTTTTGAACTTATAAACTCTTGAAATTTTAAAGCTGGATACCAACTATAGAAAGAAATGCAAATGAGAAGCAATGAAGGCTCAGAAAAGAGATAATCATATTTATTACCTGACATTATATGATGAGAAGTATTTTTTAAAAAGCATATAACTGTCAGGAGAACAGTATTTTGCAAAATGGAGAAAATAAATTAGGGCAAGGTCATTTGCATGTTTGTGTTTAGCAAATATGCTTAGAGATTGGTTTTGAAAATAACTTTTTTTTTTTAACATCTTTATTGGGGTATAATTGCTTTACAATGGTGTGTTAGTTTCTGCTTTATAACAAAGTGAATCAGTTATATATATACATATGTTCCCATATCTCTTCCCTCTTGCATCTCCCTCCCTCCCACCCTCCCTATCCCACCCCTCCAGGCGGTCACAAAGCACCAAGCCGATATCCCTGTGCCATGCGGCTGCTTCCCACTAGCTATCTACCTTACGTTTGTTAGTGTATATATGTCCATGCCTCTCTCCGCTTAATTTTTAGTAACTTTACTGCTGTTAAAAACTATCTTTTTTTTCCTCAACTTTAATTATATAAGGAAGGGACATTCCCTAGGGATAACCTGTAATAAGCAAAGCAATCCTTCGACTTTTTCCTATGTTTATAAAGACCTTTTTGTAAACATGCATGTGTATACATACTCTTTTGTTTAACTAAAACTTTTAAAAGACAGTTGTATTGTTTCCTAATTGTGAAAATTCAGCTTTCTGTTTCAGGAGTTCTTTTCACATGATTTATATAGAGTTGGCAGTCGCTGGAAAGTATGAATTTTTTTTTTCTTTTTGATCTAGTAATTTGGGGCTCAAGTGGTAGAAAATCTTGAGTTTCAAATAGTTTTGGAATTGAACTTTTTAACTGATTTAATCATTGTGGTTACACCAATTTGAAGCACATTCACACAGAACTCTCTTGCCTGTCACTATTCTTCATATATAGAACTGAAGCTGCTTATAGTTCATTGCAGAGCACCTGGACATCCAACAGTAATTACTGTTTTAGATTCCTGGTAGTGAAGAATACTTGACCCTTCCTCCTTCCATTAAAACCCACACAGCTCTCTAATTCTGATTGTTGTGATCAGTTATTCAGATATTTGGGAGCACTTACTGTATGCTACCAGCACGTGATTTCCAGACAAGGCTGTGATAAGAAATAGAGCAAAGTCCTTTTGAGCCTTGGTTTCCTTAGCACCATTCTTCCATCCTATCGTGACTGATTATGATAACTGGCTATAGGTTTTGTCACCAATAAATACGGCAGCTAGACTGTCATTTGCACAATGCAAACTGAAATCATCCTGCAGTTTTATAAGTGGATAGTAGAACATTCCCTCCACTGCAAGAAGATTTGCTAGGAGAGTCTTAAATAATGCCCAAAACACATGAGAACAAAGCTTTCCCTTTTGGCACTTAGGTCCATAAAGGCAGTTTTGGGATCGAAGAGAAAAGGTTTATGTTCAAGAACTTCTTGATTTCTATTCTCCCTCTTACTTCCTAGGCCAAGTTTTGGTGATAACATATAAAACCATTAGTGTGTAAAGTCAGCTTATCTCTAAATACAGCAACTTGAAAAAGAAATGTGTTTAGAATTACATTGTATAATATAATGCTTTATTCTTGTTGAAGATTCACCAAAATAATGTATTTTAATTACTAAAAACAAATTAGTAGAAATTTCTTATCTAAGTAGAAAATATGGTCAGCCGTGCACTGAGCCAAGATGAAATTGTTTTTTCTGAGTTGTGTTTTTGTTTCTTATTCCCCCAGTAGACTTGCCATACACACACACACACACACACACACACACACACACACACACACACACACACACACACACACACGTCTTGCTTAAGTACTGACTTTCCATTCCATGCTGACAAGTTGTGCTGGAACTTGCCATTACAGGGTCTTCAGTAAGCAACTTACACTAAATTCTGTGCTGTAGCAAGGCTTGTGTAGTGCCAGTGCATTCACACTTTTTCCTGTATTTCTCTGTTCTTTATTAAAAATAAATCTCATTTTATAAATTACTTATTGAACATTTATAGGGTTTGCATTTTTTATCAAATCTGCTTTACACCTTAGATTACCTATACCATACTTTTACTCCTAGGCTGACTTCCCGTCCTTATACTGTTGGGTTACCCCTGCCCTGGTATATCATTTCATGTGAATGTAGGGCATATACCCTGAAAAACCATAATTCAAAGAGAGACATGTACCACAATGTTCATTGCAGCCTATTTACAATAGCCAGGACATGGAACCAACCTAAATGTCCATCAACAGATGAATGGATAAAGAAGATGTGGCACATATACATAGTGGAATATTAGTCGGCCATAAAAAGAAACAAAATTGAGTTATTTGTAGTGAGGTAGATGGACTTAGGGTCTGTCATACAGAGTGAAGTAAGTCAGAAAGAGAAAAACAAATACTGTATGCTAACGCATATATATAGAATCTAAAACAGCAACAACAACAAAAATGGTACTGATGAACCTAGTTGCAGGGCAGGAATAAAGATGTAGACATAGAGAATGGACTTGAGGACACGGGGTGGGAGGGGAAAGCTGGGGTGAAGTGAGAGTAGCATTGACATATATGCACTACCGAATGTAAAATAGCTAGTGGGAAGCAGCCACATAGCACAGGGAGATCAGCTCGGTGCTTTGTGACCACCTAGAGGGGTGGGATAGGGAGGGTGGGAGGGAGGCTCAAGAGGGAGGGGATATGGGGACATATGTATGTATATGGCTGACTCACTTTGGTGTACAACAGGAAACTAACACAGTATTGTGAAGCAATTATACTCCAATAAAGATACATTTTAAAAAATACATTTTACTTAAAAGCCAGAGAGTTTTTAAATCTGTGGCAAAGGTTAGCCCAAAGACATAGAAAATTGCATACTATTAATTATTCATTTTTTAGATACCTAATCTAGGATTTTTTTTTTTTTTAGTGTGCTGTGGAGATTGCCTACATTAAAAACATTGAAGATAATACACAAGTTTTGTAAAAAGTTTTTACGTAAGGAATAATATATTTAAAATGTTGATTCATTCTTTACCATATGCTTAGGCAGCCACGTGTCAGATCTTTTTAAATACAATACTGTCTTCTTTCCATAAACCATTGAAACTTCAGCATTCCAGCTCTGCCTTCCACAACTCTTTTACCCATGAAAATGAGAGAAAATTTTGGTTTCTTAGGATCATGTGTGTGAACTTGAGGTTCAGTGACTGTGGTCACTCTGGTGATCTGACAGCCATCACCAAGTCTCCTCCAGGACTGTGTCACCTGTAATTGTCATGGGGGAAATGGTGACATCAGCACTCTTAGCTGCCATAATTTCAGAATCACAGCCCAGTAACTATTTTGGAGTCTCTCCTATAGGTCTGGGAAGTGAAACATCACTAGTCTCATGTTGGATCCTGGGCAGCAGAGGGATCCGCTGCTGTGCTGCAGCTGAAGCCAGGGTGAATTCCTTGGCATGGATCACTTCAGATGTCTCTAAGAGCTGCTCCTCCTGAATAAGGCTGGCTCAACAGGATGCCGAACTGTTCTTGCCTGCTGGAGCATAGAAAGCAGCCACCAGGACAGTTTTTAGGAGACAGATCAGGAATGGGATGGAGAGCAGGAAGGGCAGGTTGTGGTGGCGGCTAGAAATCAGTCTCTAGAACCGGTGAACTCCGAAACCTCATTGGGCTGCTTCCAAGGTAGTTAGACTCTGAGAGAGGGAGGTGGGCCACAAAGACCTAGGCCTAAATTAGCTTTAACCCCTGATTTGTAACTTAAGTTTTCCTAATTGTTCATTTTGTAATTAAAGTTTAATTCGACTAACCACCAAGTGGGCCTTTAGACTGCCATTTCAAAAAATTGGTGGCGTGCTTTCACACTTATTAAATATTTAGAATCATTGACCATTTGTTTCCCTTAGAACTTTAAATATTAAAAAAAAACACTTTTGAACATTCTAGTCTCTTCAAAATATCTATGATTGTTTATGTAGGACTAGTAAAAAAATAGAAACAGATGAATTCCATGAGAATTCTTTTTTTTTTTTAATGACCATGAGAATTCTTTTTTGACCTCTCAATAGTCAAGTAGCGCTACTTGAAGATGAGATAATGTGGATAATACTTTAAAAACCAAAATTATTCTGATGCAAAACTTCTGTCTTTACTGTCTCAGGTAAAATGAAAAGCCTACTCAAATTGCAGTTCAAATTCAAGAGTTCCTTATGGACGTATCTGATTCCTTCTTTCTCCCTTGTAACTATTGGCTAGGGAATTGCCAGGTGTCTTTAGTTGAAAGGTACTTAACCTGCTTTCCGACTGCTTATTGTGGTGGACTAAGTGTTGGCACTGGCTCAGACCCATCAGGCCCGTCTCCAGTATTATCTTACCACTTCTGCAGGACATTGAGTAAAGTTATTTAACTGCTTTGAATCTGTCTTCATCTGTGAATTAGAAATAATGATACCTTTCCTACTACCAGAATTTGAAAAGATCGAATGAGATGGTGGATATGAAATGACTTTCAAAGGGTGAAAATAAAGCCCTAAGGGACTTCCCTGGTGGTCCAGCGACTCCATGCTTCCAGTGCAGGGGGTGCAAGTTCGATCCCTGGTCGGGGAACTAAGATCCCACATGCCACGTGGCACAGCCAAAAAATTAAATTAAATAAAAAAAAATAAAGCCCTAGGATTTATGGTGACAGTATTTTAGAATTCAAAAGTACAACTTCCTGACTCTTAGAGTGGCATTAGAGAGGTTCTGTCATTGTAAGGAGGTTGAGCGCTGAAGTGCAGTGTGGGGCTAGGGTGCCCCTGCCTAGCTCACCTTAGTCCATCCTAGTTTAGCTGCATTCTCCTGCTGTGCTTGTCTTATTGGAAATATCAATAGTAGTTAATTTCCTCTGTGCCTGGTACACTGGTACATTATATAGCTTGTCTCATTTTAAGCCATGTACTATTCTTGTGAAGTAAGTGCGGTTTTTATTCCTATTTTACAGATGAGAAAACAGAGACCCTGAGAGGTGAGGTAATCTGGCACCTAGTGGGTGGGTGAAGGCTGGGTGTGAACCCTGGCAGTTTGACTCCAAGACTGTGCTCTTTAACCTTATGGTAATCTTTTATGCATATTTTAATATTTTTTTTTAAATCAGGAGATGGGTTTGAGTTAGAGAACAAATTTCATTGTCTATTACTCATTTTCCCTGTCTTGGCTGTCTAGGTCCTCCAAAATATACAGGAAGCATCAGTGAAATGTTTTAACATTTTTCGTTGTTATGTGAAGTTCTTATAAAAGAAGACCAGTTGTAAACACAAATTTAGACTTCAGTGTGTTTACTGTACCAGAAAAGAGAGTAGGCTCAGCGTGCAGATGTGGCTGAACTTCCTTCATGCGCACACCTTTGCCAGCAGAATGGGAGATGTGCTTGGAGTGCATGGTCAATGTTAACACTTGTGGAGCCTTCACCCTTTACAGAGTGCTTGCACAGATTGTCTCATTCTTGCCCTGCGACACAGGCATCTTCCCATTTTACAGCTGGTGGGAATACCTCAGAAAAGTTAGGGGGCAAGAGGCAGAGTGAAAACTCCTGACCCTCTGCTCTGTATATACATACGCTCCCTCCGCTGGGCTTCTCCTAGGCTCACACCTGCATGTCCTATTACATGCTCTGAGGTAGCTGCCTTAGGTAGCTCAAGCATTTAAAATTTATTTGTTTACAACTAAACATAGCTGTTAGAGCTCTTTATAAATGGGTCATGAAAATAATAGCTAGTTTTCATTTCCAGTGGTTTCAGATTAAAGCTCAATTTAGACTTCGGCATTCTTTTAATTGGTGTGTTTTGAATGTTGGTTGTGCCTGTTTACTCATTAGAATAAAGATACTAATTTCTAAGGCACACATCCAATATAGAGTTATGCCTAAATGGGCTTCAGTTCATTTATTCTCTTACTGTTATTTGTCCTCTACTAGTAATATAAGTTAACGAATGCCTGCCTATCAAGTATTTTGTCTTCAGCAGGCATCTTCTATAATTAAAAGAGCTTAGTGGCTCTGAGAGAATTCAGTAATTTCCCTGACCCTATGCCTCCCCAACAAACAAAGGAGATTATCTTTGAGTTTAACTAGAGAAAGGTCACTCAGGTAAAACTGAACTCACCTTTAAGGCAAGATAAATATCTTTGCCCTTAACTGGGTCTCTAATATTCCATTATTTTGTTTCTTAAATAACAGTACTAATGTGTTTGCAGTCCCAGAAATCTTATATATGTGCTGCTTCTGGAAAGTTTCACTATCATTCCAAACTCAGTAATGTTTACTGATATACCATGTGGCTACTACTGTTGTAGGAACTGAGTTATCCCCAGATAAGAGCTGGTAGGTAACAAGATAATTCAGCTCTTGTGTTCTCTAGCTAGTTACTGATTACCAGTAGCTAGTTTCATGAGAAACTCTTGGAGAAAACTGAGGAGGAGTTGTAGGTTCTACCTGGGTTTGACCATTTTCATGTACACACTGGATATGAGACAACTTCATGAATGCTGCCTGTTGATTGTCCTTTTAGGGTACAAATGATGTAGGCAATGAAGAAAAAAGATGAAGAAAGAAATACTGTTGCGCTTTAAGAAAGCCCTCTTAATAAAAACGTGAGTTGACACCCCCCCAAAAAAAATCAAGAATGATTGTGTCAGACTCCTGAAAATGATTTTATTATGTGTATTGTATTTATATACAGCTTTTAAGAAAACAACTTGTAGAAAGTAAAATAGGCTTAGCTTTATATCTTATTACAATGATAGTAATTACACCCCTGGGATTGAAGTTCCTGGCTGAGACGCTTCTCTTTAATGGTACCTTTGCTCAGTTCAGTCTTGGGTTTCTCAGAATCTCTCACAATGGCCAAGAATTGAGGAATGAATGGGGACTTCCTATGGGCAATTTTGATTTCTTGATAGGCAGGCCCTGGCTTATATCCATACCTCTGAAAGGATAGTGGGGAATTCTAGCTCAGATTCCTCCGAGCAGTGCCAGGATTTCCTGGAAGAGAGCAGAGAAGAACCTGCAGGAAAATGATATCTGAGAGGCAGAGGAGACTATTTTACCCAAGGAGGAAATGGTCAGCAGTAGTAATGCCACTGGGCAGGATGCAAGGGTAGCTGTGACTGTCTCAAGGCCAGAATTTAGTAGAGTATTGAGCATTGAAGCCACTGAGCTTCCTTAAGGGATGACAGGGCAGTGAGGAAGCCCAGGCTCCTCTTGAGAAGCTGGAGGAGGACAGAGTGGGAGAGAGGCAGAAGCCTAAGGATTTGCAAAAGCGGGGAAGCGTTCTGGGGTTGGTTGGGTTGGGTTGGATTTTGTTTTAAGGCAAGAAGAAGGGAGAATGCTCATAGGCTGAAGAGACGGAGCATAGGAGGGGAGGTTTGTTGTTAAAGTAGTGAGTGTGCTTTCCTGGAACATTGACATTTCTTAAGGAAGGGGCTTGGAGGGTGCTTGACTGCACAGTGAATAGGAAGCCAGTCTGTGATTAAGTTTGCCATGGTTATGAAATATGTTGGTAGCAGTTTTCTCTGTGTTTAAATTATTATTGCTCATGGTGTAACAAAACATTCATCCACCTGACAAATTTATTAAGAATTGGCTACATGCCAGGCACTAGGAATATAGCAGTGATGAAACAGACAAAAATCCCTGCCCCCACAGAGATTATGTCTTCACAAAAACATGGTTGTAAGTATTCTTGGAATCCATTTCATGGTTTCTACTTGCACTTTTTTTCGTGTCTTGTGGTCTTCCCTTAGAATGACATGAACACTAAAGTGACCTTCCTGCACCAGATGTTCAGAGGATTGCTTTCTGTCCAAGCCTTCCGGGTGGCTCTTGCATTTTTCGACCCTCTTCCTAATTGCTGTTAGTAGTTACCTTATGGAAATACTGTCCAGGTCCCATTTTAACTTGGGCAGCATGTGTACCTGACTGGTAGCCAGTCAGATTTTGATGTCAAAGGTGTGGGTGTGGCGATAGTCTGGGGAGGTAACCCAAGAGTACTTTCTTAGTAATAATAAAATATCAAAGTTTTAAAATGATTTCTTTTTAGAAAAATAATTTAGGACATATTTAGAAATATCCTTGTAAATATTGCTTATTATCTTGCATAACTGATAGACTTTCTTGGATGGAAAGTGGTAGAGATATGGCTGATACTTTGGCACTTTATCTTTGCTTCAGGTAGAGGGTGACTTGTTACTTATATGTCGCTAGTGGTTGTGCCATTGATAAACATTTGTTTATGTCCCCTAAACAAATTTTTGAAGTTTTGTCATACATATGTGATCGTCAAATTGTGGGAAAGTTGTTGAGAACAGCTGCTTTAGCTTATTGGTGAACATCCATTCAGCAAACTGCTGTTGAAGAGAAAGGACCCGGGAGCATGCTCTGCAGCCTGCCATTCTGGGAATGTTTACTTGGAACATTGAACAAAATTGATTCAAGTCTCTAGTCTCATAGTTTACCTTAATTCATTTGAGTTTTATGTTTTAGTCATATTTGTTTTTTGTTTTTAGTTTTTTTTTGCGGTACACGGGCCTCTCACTGTTGTGGCCTCTCCCGTTGCGGAGCACAGGCTCTGGATGCGCAGGCTTAGCGGCCATGGCTCACGGGCCCAGCCGCTCCGCGGCACGTGGCATCTTCCCAGACCGGGGCATGAACCTGTGTCCCCTGCATCGGCAGGCGGACTCCCAACCACTGCGCCACCAGGGAAGCCCCATATTTCTATTTTTAACACAGAACTGTCACTGCACCCCTCTCCCAAATCTTGGAATAAAATTGACATTCTAGAAGTAGATGCTCTATTTTTTTTCATGCTTATGCTGTGGTTTCAGATGCATCCTGCTAGCCATATCCCCTCCAAACTAGGAGAATCCAGGTTTGAGGAGTCTGGATTGGGGGTTCTAGTGCTGTCCCTTCCCTGGAGACACCCCATTCATTGACCTCCTCAGCTAGTTCCCTCTCTTCCACTCAGGTTTCTTCCTAATAGGATGTAGTCTTGTCTTCTGCCTCTTCCCTCCCAGGCACAAAATCTTTTGGGATTTTCTTCAGAATTCTTTCTTCCTGTTAACTACAGGAAAATCAATAGGTATTAACAAAATTAGAGATATGGACAAGTTCCAAAGTTATGGAAAAGTTTTTTCCACTGAAATACATGTGTCTAAGCTTATGGTTTTGGGCTTCCTTTACTGACCATCTCAGTGTTTTACTGGGGGTGAAATCTGTCAGTCTTACTACAGCTGGTATTCCCAGCTCTTCTCTCTTTCTGCAGTGTTCCTAAAACTAATGGTGGGGAGTTGGTTTACACAAAGGCCTCAGTGAAGCTTATTTACATCTTAGAGATCTTTCGTATTGGAAGGGTGTTACTTCCTCATAGCCTGCTGTGTACAAGTACCAGGCATTTCAGAGTCAGTACTGTTAGAGTGGTGGATGAGTAGGACATAGGCCTTGCCATCAAGAAAAAACACAGCCCGAGGGGAAGGATCAATCTATTCCTTTATTCAGCACATATTTATTGTCTGCCATATGCCAAGCTTTCTGCTAGGGCAAGGAGCATAAAGTTAAGACTCGTTTCTGCTCTCAAGGATTTCACAGTCAAATGTTGGAGACAGACAAGTAAGAAACCATTATAACAGAGTGCTATTTGCTGAGCTGGAATTAAGGAAGGCCCCCGCCCCCCCCCCCGCCCCCGACTGAGTTAGAGGGGCTGTGACCAGTGGGGAAGGCTGAAGGCAGCTTCTGGGATAGTTTCTCCAAGGAAGGGAGGACCCTAGAACTTGTGATGAGGTGGGAACTACAGGATATACCTAAGGAAAATTAGACATTTTATTTTTATTTTTTGCTTCTTCTGTATACTAGATAAACTCACATTTTATTAATTGTCAACATTGTTTCTGTTTTTCAACGTAAAAGTTTTGAGTTTGAGTATCAGCCAGAATGATAATGAATTTAGTCAGTTTTTTTGTTTGTTTGTTTGTTTGTTTGCAGTACACGGGCTTATCGCTGCTGTGGCCCCTCCCATCGCGGAGCACAGGCTCAGCGGCCATGGCTCACGGGCCCAGCCGCTCCGCGGCACGTGGGACCCTCCTGGACCGCTCCGCGGCACGTGGGACCCTCCTGGACCGGGGCACGAACCCGCGTCCCTTGCATCGGCAGGCAGACCCCCAACCACTGCACCACCAGGGAAGCCCTTAGTCAGTTATTTAATTAAAAAGAATATTAATATGCATGCTTATGAAAGAGTTGCTGTCATGTTTTAAAACAAAACAATACCAGTTATAAAGTACAAGGATAGTTCTTTGCGCCATTTCCATTCAGGTTATTCTTTTATAATTGAATTCTTTAAAATTAGAAAACGGTTAGGAAGAATGGCTTTTGAAGCATATATCAGGCTAAACTGTAAGTCAAAACCTGCCAGTTTAAAATAAATGCAGTTCTTTGGTTCTCCTAAATTGTAGCTTTTGCTACAGTGAAAAGAAATTAGCATATTTATGAACACCTACAAAATTCCATTGAAATGAGAAGACATTATTCAGGTAGACAGAATGTAATGATTCAGACTACATTTGGGACAGGATATCGGAATTAATGTGGCTTCTCTTTCAAGTTATTTGTGGGCAGATGACATCTTTAATATTAATAATTGCCTGTTACA